GTTCAGAAGAACGATGAAAGTTCCACGACCAAACCATCCAGCTCAGAGAACAAAATTCCATCAAAAATAAAGTGACGTAATCATGCAGTTGATTTACAATAATAATAGTATGGTATTTTTATTTCAGTAAACAAAATAGCTATGTAAAGATTCTATATAACTTAAAAATAACTATGATTAAAAACTGATATTGATCAGGAAATTCTCAAAGTTTTAGGTATACATAAGATTTCAATTAGGCGGTCGTGACCTGTAGAATTAATCAAGTCTATAGGAAGGTAGTTATGAGCAATTGATGAGTAACACCACCTAGAAACAGTGAATGAATTAAAATGTAGTTCATTGGACTAAAGAGCTTTGAATAATATTATGTCTGACAAAAGTCTTGACACTGTAAGTGTATATTACTTAGAAAGCCCTGAAATAAAAGGTAGCGAATGTCTGGTGCTTTCAGATGTGAAACAGCTTTCCAGGTAAGATCAGTGATCTTTTTAAAAGAACGATATTTAATGTTTAAACTCGCCTGTCGATTCACAGTATGAGTCATAGGAAGAAAATCGATGATGATGAAGAAAGAGAATTTAAAAAGAATAAAGCTCGAAACCATGAAGTATACAGGTAATGAATACATCAGCATTACTGCCACTAAATTGCATCCATGGTACACCAGGTCATCAAAACATGAACTACATTCCCCACACAACTTAAAGCCTTTCGGTGAACATACCATTTATTCATTATTTGTTGTTATCTGATGCCTGAATGCTTGACATTGATTTTTCAGATCTTTTTAGTCCCCAGACGTTTATCACACTTAAGCAATGAGTCAAGAACAAAAGGAAGATAGTATGAAAAGCTTTTTTTTTAAGGTTAGGTTATAGATGTTTACAGATCTGTATGTGACCTTACAATTCTAGCAGCTTCTAGGAACATGCTAAAATCAACAACAGAATCGGTAGTTTTCCAATCTGTATATGCGACACAATTTATCGCTTCCGTGGAACTCTCTTGGAAGATTATTTTAAATGCCGCTAGCACGAAGTATTTTCAGCCTTCTCCTTAGCTTTTATATACTATTCCGAAAGATAGTTCATGGAAATAAGATAGTACTGGTTTACACATGGTAGTATGATTCATCTGAAATGAGGAGACATCACTGAAGTAAGCTAAAAGTTAGGTGGTTTTAGGTAATCAACGACCCTATAGAAAGTCGTTCATAACCCTATTAGCTAAGTTGCAGTACCTCCGTCCATAACATTGGGTGATACAAATTAGAATGCCACAGCGTATTAGCACTTATTTCAGATATACATGTTGAGGAGTGCCAACCAACGAAAAGAGTAATTCAATTAGAAATTCTTTACGATTACCTCCTAACAACAAAACACTGTACGTGATGATCAATCACTCAAACAAGCAGTCACATTACCACGTGATCAGCAGAATTTTTTCAACACTCACGAACAGATATTTAAAACATGTGATACTATATCTTTGCAATTATTAGTCACTGAAAATTTGCTGACAAATGTACTAAATTATTCAATGGCCCTATGATTATTATTATTGTCCTGTATTCGACTCTCTCGTTCAAGGTTATGGATGTGTACTCTCAAAAAGTACCATAAAGAACGAAACGATCATCCAATGCTTCCAGGTTTCAAATAATAATCAGTTGATATTTTCAATAAAATTCGAAAATCTTCACAACCCCATTACCTAAAATTGTCGTTATTATTAACTATATGAAACATATTTTATATAAATGGGAAGATTAAAGCAAACAATATCAAGTGTATTTAAACTTTACCCCCTTGCACAAGCAAGTGACTATCAGGACTCAGTAGCTAAGTAGATAAGACGATGGCGTTTGAAGCGAACGATACTGATTTCGAGCCCCAGAGTGAATATTAACTCTGAGATGCATGTATATCCAGCTAACGAATCTCAAATAGAACGAAATGCACGTAAAAGTGGATTCTACTGCTAGCCACTATTTATCTTTGCATATAATGCTTATGAATTAAGGCTATATCGAAGCAATACGCTCAGTATGCATATATGCCAATAAAAGACTGATCTATTGCAATCCTTAACATCAATAGGAAGATTCAAACAAACAATACCAAGTCAATTTATATTTTATAATGATTCATAGAATCATTGTGTTACAAGTACTATTTTTTTATTTGAATTTTTATCAACATCATTTGACTTATGTTTAAAATAATACTTATATATGAAGAATAAGTAGTATCACATGTATAATTGATGATAAAAATAAATAGATATCAACTCTTTTATGTGAAAAAAAGAAGAAAACCCCAATCACAATATTAATTCCATTGGTGTATTAAAGCGATTTTCAGTATAAGGGTTGTGGAGATTATTAAGTTTTTGATTGAGATCATGAACTGATTGATGTTGGACTAGCGTTGGAAACCTGAAAGCACTGGACGGCCGTTTCATCCTATTTTAGGACTCCTCAGCATTGTGAAGCCGTGACCAGCGGAGCTAATCCGTGTCGGGTAGAAACAGGTATCTACCTCCGTACAATGGAAGATGTCGGTGCGATTTCGTGGATTGGTTGGTGTTAGACATTAACATCACCGGATGCCGGCTCAGTGGTCCAGTAGGTTAAGCGTTCACGCGCAAGACTGAAGGACCTGGGTTCGAATCCTGTGAGCGGTGTCGTGGATACGCACCGCTGAGGAGTCCCAAAATAGGGCGAAACAGCCGTCCAGTGCTTCCAGGTTTCCAGCGGTGGTCTAACATCAATCGGTTCATGGTCTCAATGTAGATTAATTTTATTAAAAAGGTAACTATACAATGACTTAGTGATAAAAGTTGAAAGAATCCAATTGATTGTTCATTTAGGGGAGTTGGAAAACCCTGATTCCAAAAGAATGGTGCACATGGGCTCCCGAATCGTGAGTGAAGGAATGGAGTATGGACCTATTATCGATTACTGGCTACCATGTGACTGCATCTCCTGACGTTGCCCCCTGCCTTGTGGATCAGACTTTTAAATCGAGGTCTCCGAGTGTGTTCACTTAAGAAAACCATCTGCTTCGGTTTGGGCACACGTGCAGTATCACAGCACATACACATATTAAGTGACTTGTATGGCGTGTATGTATTCGGTGCCCCTTTATACCAATATTTATGTGTTCAAATTAAATAAATTTTTAACGTCAGCAGTTACAAACATATTTAATAATCTTGAAATTGGTTGACGATTCGTAGATGGTTTATTGAGATTAGATGATAACCGATTTTAAGTTTTTTTATCACTACAAACTGGTATCAGAGGGAAAACTATTAAGAACTAAGAAGTTCTAGAGAGTTGTTTTGGGCTAATTTTTGGTAACAATCTTTTAGTAGATCACAGATGAAAACTAGGACATTTAACTAATGTGATAAATATGATAACTTTAGATCACTAAGTCAGTTCCTCATGATAATTCCTGTCTAACCGTAATATTGGAGACCAATATTGATTATCAGAGGTGAAATCTTCACATTGACGAGTCCCATCACATATGCCGTAAATTATGTTTTTAAAAATCTATCTGTGAAAAATCTGTCTACTTATCGATAGCAAGCTACATCTTACTCTATATTTCTTCATAAGTGTGAACCAGGATCTTAAAAAGTATTGAACATAATTAGGCTACTAATATTTGAGTACTACATGGGTATCATTGATCCACATGGTGAGCAATGGTGAGTATAATACTAAGTAGAGATAGAAGATCAATTGATTATGCAATGTAAATTGAGTAGTTGCATTCATTGGTTTACCTTCTTCCATATTTTTACTTACAATATTATTCAAAACGTTCTTCTCATCAATTTCACTTAATGATTGAATCTGTTATATTTTTGTGTCAGACAATCTTTACAAATTATCACAATTTTTAAAATCAATACAAAGAAGATATTCAGATAATAAAATGATATAATACTAAAGGTACTATTTATTCACACAAAATAGAACTAATGAAACCGATTTGTTCTATACTACTTTTTTTAAGTAAAAAAATTCATTAAAGCTCTTGAACTCACCCTCATTAAATATTTCACTTAGAATATATCTATTGTTTGTATCTGTCTTCTATACCGAGAATTATAACTACTAACAGTATGACAGAATATTCATCAAAAACCAAATTAAGGATAATACAATACAAAAGTATGTAACTGTATAAGTAGTATTAAGTAAGTGTTAATAAAACAATGCAAAACTTTTGTGTGTTTTTTTTTCTCTTTAAATAATATCATTATACTAATTCCTATTTAAAACAATAAAATAATATGGTTAGTATTTGTGTAATTTAAATTAGCATTATTGTTACTATTACTATTATTATGAGTAGTGGTAGTAGTAGCATTAGTAGAAGTAGAAGTAGTAGTAGTAGTAGTAGTGGTAGTAGTATTGGTAGTAGTAGTAGTAGTAGTAGCAATATTATTATTATTATTAGTAGTAGTAGTAGTAGTAGTAGCAGCCGTAGTAGTAGTAGTAGTAGTAGTGGTAGTAGTTATATTAGAAGTAGTAGTGTGGTGTGGGTTACTTATATTCACACTAGTAGTATATAACGGTTGTCAGGTATAGAATGTATTTCAGTAGAAGTTCGACGATGAAAGAACGGTAACAGAACGCAGTTGGTATGAAAATACATAAATAATGAAATCTGAGACAATGGATTGATGTTTGCAACAGGAATAGTCAAGTTTGATATGATAGATTGATATTTTGCAAATTAAGCATTTACTATATGGATCTAAGATTTTATTGAGATGCTCTGTAATTTGGTTGCCCCCACTCGTGTTCTTGTTCACTACAGTAGTAGAAATAGTAGTAGTAGTAGTAGTAGTAGTAGTAGTAGTAGTGGTAGTGGTAGTACTAATAACAGTTACAAAAATGAACTGCAAATTAATGTAGTAAGTGTAGTAATAAGATTTTATTCAATGGTTATTCTTTTCTTTCTTATTTTTTAGGAATATTTTTATCTAATGCTATTGCATTACAAATTATTAAATGTATATGCATATTCTATATTGTACTAAATGAAAGACAAGTAGATTGATAGCATACTGAGAATCCATTATCAAATGATAATCTGATGAATGAGTATATATTAAATCTGATCGTAATTGAATTAAGCATGAGATTTCGGTTTAAGGTTATTTAGTTTTATAAATAATGAAAATAAACTGTACGTTAAGAAGTGATCAATTGTTAAGTAAGATCAATGAAGGAAGGGTTTAACAAGTATTAGTTTGACTAAATTAACTTGTAAAATAAGGAATAAGAGATTAATAATGAAAATGTTTGACTTTTAAGTGTTCGGTTGTAAGTTAGAATATGAATTCACTCAGGTTTTGAATGCTTTGTAATAACATTAATCATAATCGAAAAAATTTAGTTGAAAATCAATTTCATAAATGGAAACTTATAGATGATATCAACTGACAAAAGCTATATGAGCTTCATTTTTTATCTGAGAACTATTTTTTAGCCACTATTCTATCAATATTAATAAAATTCCAAAAAAATAAATGAAATAGTCAACACTTTTAATTAATCCATTTGTTATGATCAGATGAAGTCTTAAAATTACTTATTCTTATAGACAGTAACAAGGTTAACCTATACATTGCAAATTTCAGTCATTGCTATCAACAATAATGATTAATGACAAATGTCAATGTAACCTACAAATTTAAACATAAATGACTTTAAACCACGCACTGTCGGATGATAAAATATATGGAGAAAGACTCGAACTTGTGATGCTGTCATTGATTGAAAATCAGTTTTTTTAAGCTGATTGATCTCCACCATTATAGATCAATCATATAAATGGCTTACAAATTTTAAATCTCATTATCTATAGCGGATAACAAAAAATAATTTGAAGTTTACATGTACAATACAGGTTAATAACACAAAACATGAGAAATAGAATTAAATGTTTATGTAACTAGTAGAATTCACATCAGATTCATAGTATAATGATAAAATGCAACTGAAATTAAATTTGATTCAACAAGAAAATATTAATGATGTCAACTACAATGATAATAATCATAATTAATGACACTAAATCTAATTGATTATAGTAACTCCAATAGTTGAGATCATTAGTCAATTGAAGCTAGACCACCACAGTAAACCTGAAAGCTCTAGAAAGTCACTTCTTCCTACTGTAAGACTCCTCAACAGTGCGAATCCACGATCCCATCTCACGGGATTCGAACACAGGACTTATCAGTCTCACACATCAGCGCTTAACCACTAGACCACCGAGCCGACCGGCATTCAACGGTGTTAATGTCTAACTTCAACTCATCCATGAAATTGAGTAACATATCCACCATTTTCATCAGTGTGTTACCATCTCAACTCCACTAGTCACTGCTTCTCACTAGAACTCCAGGAAATACCTCTTAAAGCCAGTCACAAGTGAGCATATGTTCTTTAATATCGGAAGGGCTTTTTGCGGATACTATAGTAAAACCATTGGATACCGGCTCAGTGGTCTAGAGATCAAGCGTTTACGCGCGAAACCGATAGGTCCTGGGTTCGAATGTTGCGAGGAGGGATAGTGGATGTGCACTGTTGAGAAGTCCCACAATAGGACGAAGCGGCTTTCTAGTATTTCCAGGTTTTCTATAGTGGTCTGACCACAATTGACTTATGATCTTAACTACTAAAATTACTACAATATCCACAAAAGACCCCTTCTAATACCAATTCATTATAATCATTTAAGAAACCTGATTCAGATCTAATTTAAAGGCAAAATTTTAATTAAGAATAGTTTTGGTTAGATTAAAACTTAACTATCTACATACCCCCTCCCTTATACTGATAAATTTAATTAATTAAACAAAAATGTCTTAGAAACAAAAAAAAAACAAGCTGTTAATTATGATTAAAAGCGTTAAAAAAATTCAATCATATATAAGGTATACAGACAAAAATTTGATAATTAATTAGTTGCTTATTGTTTCTGAGACAATTGACCGCTCTCATAGTTAAAAGAAAACTGAAGGTTGACATAATTCATTAAAATCCTAACCAATTACTATAGAGATTATACATAAAGAACAGACTCACAAAAACGATAGTCAAAAATATTTATAATTCCATGAATACAAAGTGTATGTTTTTTCTCTCTCTCACTCTCCAACATTAAGCTTAGAAGTTAACGATAAACAATTAAGAGATTGACTTTATAACAAACTATTAAATTTAAGGTTCCAAAACTCACTTCATTTACTTTAATTTGGTCAATCGATTAGTAGCATGAATAATAACACAGTTTAATTGTGTAACTTGAAGCTCGTTATACAAATATGTACTTGGTAAAAGGGTTAAGGTATAGAGAACTATTAAAAAATCATGGAGCACTGAATAGGTGCTATATCATAGTTTCAAATTGTGACAGGTTAAGAGAATCGAATAATATTTCGTGACTGAGCGCAAGCGACATCACAAACTCAAAAACTGTAGGCTAGAAGTTGTAAATGGGGAACGCTACAGAAATAAGTCGATTATACACCTAGTTATGTTTTCAGCTTATATATCATTGAATGAGCAGTAAAGACATGTACGTGTGTCATCATAGTTTGTGCATATCATAATTCATTTTAACAACTAAATCCTCTTACTTATTTAATCTTCTTATCAGAATTGTGGGATCGATATACCGTATGGAGAGTTGAAAAGCAGAAAACAACAGAATCAATTGTGAATTTCAATAATTCTACGGTCAGTTTCAGTTCAGGTTGAAAGCTAAATTCAAACCGAACAAATTTCAAAATCTAATAATTTTTCCCAGCATTTTAAGCTTGTGTATTCATATTTATAATACTTCTTACAGTTGATCTAAACTATACTATTTACTCATTATTTAATGATCAACACAATGGTTATTCACTCCTCCATTGTGTTGACTGAATTCTACCGACGAAGTTGAAATATAGTCACCAATCTAAATGACTAGACATCTCGTACATTATATCTTGCTGTCAAATCCCAATCATCACGAACTCGTGATTAACTAATGCTTCATAATAGTTTCAACTCTTTAACAAAGCATGTCTGAAATCTAGAAAGAGCTGATATGTCCATGGAATTTTAACCAAAATCAAGCGATATCAGAAAAGTTAGCACTCAGTGACGTAAGTCCCAATACCATAGTGAGCATCAGTGTCATAAACACTGTGAATGTCATTTGACGACTAGTATGAAGCGTTTTCCAAGTATGACTTCCTATCAATTATCTCCAACCACTTAATATTAAATTAAACAGACTCAATATTATCTAAGTAACTAACAAACATAAATTTGATTCACCAGTGGAAGGTCCAATATCCATAGAATTTTGATAGGGGTTTTCTTCAATCAATTTTTTTAACTGGATAGCGTTTTTATTATGAGCAACTTGAAAATCAGTTGCTTCACGTGAATCATTGAGTTTCGTGTTATTTTCTGACTCTTCCGGTATTCGAGATAAAGAAACATTCGATAGGACATTAGAGTTCGTTATGACTGAATTATCCAAACATGAATTAAATTGTTCATTAGAAGATATTTCAGAAGTAGAGGAAGAAACTGTATCATTATCAATGGAAAATTCTGAAATTGGATTGAAAGATGACATTTCCTCTTGAAAATCTGGTGAATTTTTCCCACTTATTTCCATCTTATTTTCTGATTTGTTCAATAATACTACATGATTACTGACAAAATTTTCAGTTTCATTACGCCTATCATCTAGTATAACTGATGAAAGTGAAGTAGACTTTTGAACATCAACTGAACTGCCTAATTCTTTCACTTCTTCTTCATTAGTTGTTTTCACTGGAGTACGCCGAGGATGATGACAATTACTATTATAACTGTTACGTCGATCATGTAACTTTAATTCACCACGTTGTGAACCAACACGATTAAAATGTATTGGACTAGGTAGAATATAGGTGGAAATTTCAACAGTAACAGGCTTATGATCAGTTTCATAGAAATTTTTATTAAGATCATCATCAACATTATTATAAGGTTTACCTTGGCTTGATAACTCTTTACTTGGATCACTGACATGAGTATTTATTGTTCTGTTGGTATATTTATGCATAGTATCAACTTTATCATGATTTGTCGCTCCCATTTTAGATGAATTGCCTAAAATAGAACTATTCAATGAATCTGATCTGCCTAATGCTTCGGGTCTTGAACGTTCACGACGACCACTACGCCGATCAACCAATATAATATTACTTCTCTGAGATCCCATACGATTGAATACAACACTGCCGTCAGTCTCCTCAACAGATGTATTGGTTTTTGGAGTAATGTTAATAATTTTGTTAGTTGATTCATTCATTGATGAAACTGATGACATGTTGGAAGATAAGAAAAGTGAGGACCAAATGGAAGAAAATATAAAAAACATATGAAAAGAAATGCATAGAGACAATATTATTAAATAAGCAGTTATGAAAACAAGTTAAATTGTACGCGTAATATACATAATCTGTCCAATAAATACGCAAACTGAGATTATAGAAACTTAAATTTACGAACTTTGGAGTACACACACATTTATTCTCCTTCAAAATGGTCCTCAATGGTACCGAAACAAATACTTTGTCTCTGTTTTCTATGTCTCAAAACATTTATGGAAGTCCTTAGAAATCAGTCTCTGTAGCAACCTGGTCGATTCGCGTTACATCATTTTCGCATCGTAACAGTGCTGACTCAGAATGATTACTTCTCATTTCCGAACCAAACATATCATCAGCGGATAGGACTAATGAGTAGGAATGGTGATCTAACGTGATTATCGGATTACAGATAAAAAAAATTAGCGTATAATCACTGTTGAATATACAAGTGTATTGTCACGATGCAACAATCATCCATCAGTATCCTATAAATGTTGTTAGACTTTTCGACAGAATTATCTTCATCTTTCAGTTTCTACTTTTTGTTTGTTCACAGAAGGTTAGATACACCACTAATGATCAACTGTTGGATTATATACATCATAAACCATCCTAATAACTCAGTTCACGCATTTACTAGGCAAACCATGCATGAGATATATATGAGATGATTATTTATAAATGGATTATTAAAAAAGTATGAAAAATGATGTTAGTTAGATTCACGTACTGTTTTGTATGTGTGAATTAACAAAATGAGTGATGAAAATAATGATATTGGTTATATTGATAAATGATAATTTATACTTAAGCCCAAAAGTCAAACAAACACAAAGCATATTGATGAGAAGAATATCGAAGTTTTATCACAAAAATTGATATGATGGTAGAACATTAATAATTTTATTTAATATCATTGTTCAAAAGAAATGTAAACAAGAAAATTAAACGGAAGAGTTAAGATGTCTACATAATATAGAGAAGAAGAAAGTAATGAAACTGATAAATAGTAATGATTTTGTTAAAGTCAGATATCCTGACATAATGCTACAAGATAATGTCATCAATGGTGGAGATTACTTGGAGGAGGGGGGGGGTAAACCCCTTAATTTATGACTAATCTCTGACATTTATGTTATGAATAAAGACTATTTTGAAAAAAATCTGGATTATATAGTGTCCGTCGGATTGATTTTGGTTGTAAATACACAATCCTTACTAGTCAGTAATTCTTACTCAATAGTACTTTCATTATCTGACTAATACTGACTTTATATGCATATTATTTTGTTGATTATCTTACCTACTGTGGTAATTTTGTGTCAATTTAATTAAGGGCCAGATTCTATGTTATCTATAGATGACTGGCTGGGTGGATGATTTTATTATTTCACCAATAAACATAGTAGCTATCTGGTTAATTACAGTAACTTATAGCAATTTCTAAAATTGCATATTTGAATATAATTTACACTGTTTAAAATGACTTAGACAAACAGTCAATAACTTCCATACATTAATGTTACATTTTGGTTTGCCAGCCCTTAGTTATTTTTTTAACTTACTTCAATACAAGCAAACACGGATGATGGCTAGCAGTGGAATCCAGGATGTGCGTTTCATCCTATTTTGTACTTCTCTACTCTAGCCAGTATTATACCTCTAGAACAGTAATTAAAGCTTTATAATAGGAATTTTGTTAAAAAAAAAATAACTAATCACCCTAGGGAATACAACATCAACAAAGTCTCCACCTGGAAACTTCTATAAATATATATTTTTTTCTCTAAATTATTTAATATTATCCTAAAGGGGGTTTTGTGGAGATCTTAGTAATTGAATAGTTGAATTCACGAGTCGATTAAAGCGGGATCATGGATGTGCATTACTTAGAAGTCCTATACAAGAACGAAACGGCCATCCAGTGCTTCCAGATTTTTCATGGTAGTCTAACTATAATCGACTTATGAATTCAACTACTTAATATTACTTAAAAGAACCAATGATAGAAGAAGAAATCGATAATAAATCAACAATATTTCAACTTACTAATATAACCTTATAAATTTGTATGATTTCACAATAAAATCTCCTGTAGTTAATCATAAAAACTTGTTAAAATATCTCTCTAATGCATTATAACAATGGTAATCAATAATTATTTATTTATTATAAAAGATGGTTGAAGTCGGTGATAAGGTTGTTGGTGTTTTTTTTTTCTTATTTCTTTTTCAAATGGATACCTTTCTTCCGCCAAACATATGTATATATACGTGTGTTTTAACCAATCAATTTAGTTTTATGAATAGTGAGAAAATACTAGATCTTATTTATTGAATATGCATAAATGATTTAGCATAAAAAATGTCTACTTTATTTCAAACTATATACAAGTTATAGAATAATGATAATCAACTAACAAAGAAATAAATTTGCATAGTATTTGTTGATAAGGAATAAACAAGTCAATAGATACATACATATACAATTACAAATGAGAAGTGTACATTGAAAATATTGTATATGTGAAAGAGAGAATATGTATAGTCAGTTATGCATGAGTTCTTGTATTTATTGTTGGTCGAAATTTTCTAAACGACTATAAAAAACGAAGCGTAATTAATAAATTGACTACTGAAGTAAGACATTACGATAGGTTGTTCTGAATTGTTGATATGCAATTGTCAAAAGCTGGGTAGTTTATTTGTGTTACTTTTTTAAGATATCCATCAAACTTTTTATAAATTAACGTGAATAAAAAGGATACTTCCAGTAATAGAACAATAACATATGACTCAACCCAGTGGTTTTGGATTATTGAAACCTTCAAAAATATCGGCTGCTTACTTACTTGATACTTCGTTATTTTCTTTTTGTAAACTTAAATTTATGGCTTATTCTCGTTAAAATTCCCTAATCAATGTATCCTCACTTCTACTTGACGTCTAAGCTGATGATGTTATTCAGAAGAAAAAAGAAAACTTCACAATCAATCTATTCAGTTCAAAAAAAAACGAAACTCCAACAAAAGACATCTTTCATTTTTATCACTACCAGTCATATTGTTTACCCATTGGTTTATTGTTCAATTAATTTGATCACACTCATGGCTCCATATTTACTTCACACCTTTTGGATGACGTTTAATATGATTATGAAAACTGAGCAGGTGCACTCATATGAGGAGTTCCATGTAAGATAAAACGTGCAACTCGGATTCTAATAATAGTTAAAGTCCAAAAAATTCTCTAAAACGTATCTATAGGCTGTATAGTGGCAACTGTTCAGTATGCATATTAACCAACACAAACTGATCGAATCTAGCCCGCAACAATAGCAAAGGGATAATAATTATGTCATGTTATTATTAATCTAATCACTGACCTGTGAGTTAAACTCAACCATGGATACATGAAAATCTATAGTAAAGTCAATTTAAACATTTTAAATTTTATAAAAGTGACTACAGTCAAGGCATTATTGTAATTTATACTAGAATAGTTTTTGCAACTTTTGAAAAATCTAAGCCGACTATAAGTTATAATATTTGTAAACGGTATTTCTGACAGATAGACCACAGCTGAGGTACCAATAAAAACCAACGGACACTAAATATTTTTGTTAATTGTACCATGGGAATAGTAATCTAATGGCTTAGTGATCAATGACTTAATAGAAGACCTGAAGTTCGTGGTTTTGATACCTAGAGACGTTGTGGGTTCCCATTTTAAAGAAGTTGTATACTGAAAAGAAACATCTATTCTAGGATATCTGAACTTTTAGATGAGTGGATATTTCAAAACAACCGTTTAATACTTCCAAGTTTTTAATAACGCTTCCAATGATGTCATTCGTTTAATGTTAGGAAATCTACATAAGTTTATCGAAAAGAACATTTGTTTTGTTTCCATTTATTAAAATCCATAATTTGAAAAGATGATATGTACCGTGACAATTATTACAAAGAATATAAATGACTCAAGACAACATTAATTATATACCCATAATAACAGAAGGAAAAAATACCAAGAAAGAATAATTTTTTCCCACGAATCTATATCGATTTAAAAACAATAAACAATTAAGGATAATGTATATTTTTATTTTATCCAACTTTGGCGAGTATTGATTCTTTTAAGTCAGAAGGGGTTTTGTCGGTATTGTAGTAATTTTAATAGTTGAGATCATTAGTCAATTGAAGCTAGACCACCATGGTAAACCCGAAAGCTTTAGAAAGCCACTTCTTTCTATCGTGGGACTCCTCAACAGTGCGCATCCACGGTCCAACCTCACGAGATTCGAACACAGGACCTATCAGTCTCACACGTGAGCGCTTAACCATTAGACCACCAAGCCGGCCGTCATCTAACGGTGTTAATGTGTAACCTCCACTAATCCACAAAATTGAGCAACATATCCACTATTGTCATCAGTGAGTTACCATCTCACAACAGACCAGGTTCAACTCCACTGGTCACTGCTTCTCACTAGAACTCCAGCAGAATACCTGTTAAAGCCAGTCACTAGTGAGCATATGTTCTTTAATATCAGAAGGGGATTCTGTGGATATCATCGTAATTTTAATAGTTGAAATCATGAGTCAATTGAAGCTAGACCATGAATATTTTATGAGTACAGTTACATCATGGAAATGAGTAGCATAAAGCTTTAAACAAATAACTAGTATTTCCTATGAATTACTTATAACTAACATGAAATAATGGAGAATATACAGATTTTAAATTCTTATTCTGAATAGATTATATTTATATGAAAAACAATAAAGATGATCGGAAAAATGTTGATTTAGTTAATCGATATTATTACGTAATCAGCTTTTAATAAATTGATCAATGAATAAACATCGTAATTTGAATGTTCATTGATCAATTAAGTCAATAAATTTATCTTAATTAAATACACCTTTGAACGAATCACGTTTTTTTTTTATTATTAACATCAAATTAACTAAAACTTCCTGATAGTTAGAAAAAAAGACAATATCAAATGCTGTACATTCATCAGTATTGATGAATATGCGAAAAACGGTAACATTTCAGAATTGAAGTAATGTTTCATTTATAGATTATTCTGTTAAAGCTAATCTTGTAACCATTATTTTTTTTTCAATTCATTTATCAAGTACAATTTAATACCCTCGTTTATGAGTTACATTTTTTGTAAGGGCTAGTGATATTAATCCTCGTATCTAGACCAATATCAGAGTAGCGGGATTCGGACTTGTATCTTAGTTCCAAAATTTAGCTAATCATCATCATATTGTACTGAAAGCACTTAATTTATGAACATTAAATTTGAGAGTTTAAACGCAGTTCTGTTTTATTAGAAAGGGTTTCGTAAAGATTTTAGAAATTTCACTGGTTGAAATCATGAGTCAATTGAAGCTAGACCACCATGGAAAACCTGGGAGCACTGGACGTCTGAGGAGTCCGACACTAGGACGAAACGGCCGTCCAGTGCTTCCGGGTTCTCTATGGTGGTCTAGCTTCAATTGACTCATGATTTCAACCAGTGACAGTTCTGTTTACTTTAAGTTTCGGTAACCAAGTATTAACACTAGCTTTATATAAAGTGTAAGGCCTAGCGCCGATTATACTAATATGCATTGAGTTGTAATCAGTTATATACAGAACTTCATAAAGACGGTTTATTTATTCTGCTGGTGATGTTATTTGGTAAAACATTTCCTAGGACAACATAGTGAACCAAAAGATTACATCATTGAAATCTAGATTAATTGTTCTGGGTAAATTCATCTGAAAAAGTTTTATGTCGTTTGTAGTTTTTCAAATTCGATGATATTCCCTTCTCTACAATTTTTTAAAAAATATCAATCACGTTCACTTTCACAGTAATTTATCCACCAGTATTATTTAATGTTATGTTTGTTCCGTTAGGAGTTACTTATGCTATTGGTTACCTCCAGGAAGGATCTAAAGATAACCTACATCACAAGCTAAAGAACCAGTAAGGACTCAGAAGTGTTCAACAGCTATTTTATTCTGCTTCATGGTGCGTACCATCGATTGTACATGAGATTAAAACCAGGCCTCTTAGTTTTCATGTCATTGATAATACATTTTTACCACTTCTTCGACATCTGTAAGTTCATACTTTTACTTTCAATGAACTCATTGAAGGGTTTTACACTATGATGAAATAGCCTCCTTATGTCGTATTCAACCATATTTATCCAAAATATACTTACCAGCTAAGCTACTTCTAGGTGATTGGATTGAATTTACGTCCGAATGAAGATAGGTAAACTCCTGGTTGCAAAGAACGCGTCCAAATTCCACACTATCAATATAAACAGAATAACGTCCAGGCTGTAACGAAGGCATATGGATACGTAACTGCGATAGATCAGATTGACTTGACTCATCCAGGAACCAGTCATCTCGAGAAACTGGATGGTCACCAACAAAAACAGTAGATCGCTTCATTATTTCAGTCGTGAGGAAACGGCAATAAATTGTTAACTCAGTACCACCTAGGAAATAGAAAGTAAATTACAGCAGATTTTTATTAGAAATAAATCTCTTCGTGAAAAACATATTCAAGACAGATCAAAGAAACCAGCGAAGTTAGAACGTCTAAAAACAGTACACTAACCTACGTTGTCACACATTTAGACAGAAGAGACAGCAAAAGTAAAAACAATTATTTATAAACTCCAGGTCAGAAGTGTTCTCACTCTTTTAGTCTTGGCATATTATCTATCTTAAGGAGTCATATTTTACAATTGTGAAATAGAAACATTACAAACTACTTACCTATACATAATCCGAAGGTTACACACGAAACTGAAATCTATTTGAAGACAAGATAACCATCAAGCTGTGTTAATGTAGTTTGGTAACTTGGATGGATACATTTATGTGTTACAATTGATTGGTCACTGGGTGGTGATCAATATCATGTATGTCAAGTCCTTCTTACTGCAAATCAAATCCTATCGACCAAGTAGCAATGTGAGTGACACAGGATCGAATCCGTCAAGAAGCATCAGCTCCTTAAAGATTACAAGTACATCTTGATGACGAGTGCCAAGTAGCACAAAACTTAGGTCTAGGGTTTCCTGTTGATTACCATCTTATTTATGTGTTACATTCTACATTTTTTTACAATTGACTGATTGGTATCAAATGGACAACGTATCGAACAATTCCATTTTTTAGTATGAGAATCAGCGAGTTCATGAGATGTGTCAAGCTTATTTATTATAGTATGTCATTATTATGGCTTCAATAACTTTGATTGCACAATATTTCTGTAATAATAATAATATTATTATTAGCTTTGTACACAAAGTACTTCAACAAGTTTCCTTTTCTTATTTCTTGATCGATCCTTGAGATAAATAGTGAGTGATCGCCAGATGTTAGCAGTTCAAGAATCAACATTTGAATAATGTTCATTCTTTTCGATGCATATTGCCGGCAACTACAATGTCCTTGAGTGGGCTTCTTTATAACTTGTACAGAGAAATGTCGTCAACTTTTCACAAAGATATCTGAATTGGTTGTGAGACTAATAAACATAATGATGTGTTAAAACAAACAGAAAAATAAATAACTTGTTGACATATCTAGATGGAAAGAACAGGTTACCCAGATATTCAAACAAGTTGACTTGTTGAAAGTTGATTCATTGATTTTTGTTTCTCAAAAATTACTATTTCAAATAGAATCTTTATTTATGTACAAAATTAAATAACTAAATCCGACAATTTCATTGAAATGGTTAAAATGAAAAGAAAACAATCATGATCATATATTTATAGAATACAATGAATTCATTACATTTCATTAATGGTTTCTCTTCATTTACATACAAGCTAATTTAATTATTTCCAATTTTCAACATCATTTTGAATTTGAGAAATCGATTACCATTCATTTCGATAGAGTTTTGTTCTCTGAGCTGGATGGTTTAGTACTAAACCATCCAGCTCAGAGAACAAAACTTCATCAAAATCATTCACCTTAGTTACTAATCTCCACTATCTCAGTAATTATCACTCAATAATCCATAAGTTACATACATCTTGATCCTTTGATAAATTTTATATCAAAATTAGAATAATAAAATTTGTAGAATAACATAAATTCATTTTAGTTCAAGATTTCTCATTAGATACTATGATAATCATTCATTTGTAAACAATTTGTTGTTTTTTTGGAGGGGGGGAGTTATTCACTAACTCTTTATTATCATTTATAACTTTAACCCTTTCTTGTTATGACCTCATCTTTAACAAACAAATACTAATCAGTTTTAACAATTATGTTAAATATGTTGTTTTCTCTCTGTGTTTCTAAGATTGTTTCTAGTTAAACTTCATTAATTACAATCTTTAAAAAGATTTTATGATAATAATGTTATCAGATTGAAGAGTTACGGTGATTGAAATATGTTTAAAGTTGAATTTATGAGTCGATTTCCATAAATCCCTATTCTGATAACAATCATGTGCTCACTAATGACTAACTTTAAGATGGATATCTTGGAATTCTGGAGAGAATCCATGACCAATGGAATCCAATCCGCGTCTGATGTGAGATAGTTATCGACCTCAGAAAATGGACGGAGGGTTGCACAAAATTATGGATAGACGAAAGTTAGACATTAACACCGTTGAATGCCGACTCAGTGATTTAGAGGTTAAGTGTTCGCGCGTGAGACCGAAGGTCTTGGGGTCAAAGCTCGCGTAAGGGACAATGGACACGCACTGCTGAGAAGTCCTATACTAGGACGAGACAGCCGTCCAGTACTTCCAGGTTTTAAATAGTAGTCCAGCTTTAATTGACTCATGAATTCAAATTTAATATTTATGGACCACTTATTGAAATCACAGGTTCGCGTACGTTAAATTAACCTTAAAAATCCTAAGGTAGTTCTTTATCAAAGACTTACATCAACTAAGGAATCATTAAAAATGTGAAGCAATAACTGTTTTGTTCTAGTTTAAGACTGTATGGTACGTTACCCGAGTTTTAACCAAGCGCAATTAGGTTTCGTAATAAGTACATTTTCCTTAAATCATTAAATCGGGACCCAGTATTTTGGCAGTCTAAGCTTAAATTAATTAACCATATAACCTAACTATCATTTAATGTCATCTGGCAGGTAAATAAAGCCATGAAATCATTGACTACTGGTCTGATGTATATTAATAGGTGCAGACTTACTGGTTGAGACCCACAGATTACTCATAGTCAGTGGTTTAAGAAGTGGGGTGGGAAAGAACAAATTGATTGTTGTCGTACAAATGCAGTTATTCTCTTCTTTCCTTTAAACACTGAGTATCGTTCCTGACTCTTCATTCTCTGACATCATTTTTTTCTTTTGAACTGCATCTTATATGTTTAAATCTCTATTACAACTACAGTTATTTCCTTTGCTTTGCTCCTCATCATATTGGTTTCTTCTCTTATCATACTGATTTAACTTGTAGTGTATTGGACTGACATATATGTTTTCTACGTTTACAATGACTTACTTACTGATTGACTCTATTGGTGGTAAGAGCTTCTCCTGAGATTATCGCGAAATCAACCTCGTAACTAATCGCTAATAAGTACACAGCTATAATTCACTTAGATTAGTTTAATTCCATGAGTTTTGTCATATACTCAGAGGTCAACAATATCATGACATAATTTTATAGCAAAGTTGCACTACTTTAATAATCTACAGTCATTTATTCGTTTAAATACATACAGTTCTACTCTGTAGTGGAGGAAGAATCAAGATAGCCACTGAAATATATTACCAGACCTGTTTGTTTAATACATCATTATCGAATTACTCATCAAAATTATCTTGCATATCACATAATCTACTATCACTCAAGAAATGAATTTTGATCACAAAGTTCGGGTTGTAATTCTTGTTATCATCACTAATAATGTTTGATAAATGCGATTGTACTGATTGAGAATAACATTACTGTAAAAATCAAATCTCTTTGATGAATTACATTCTGTAATTACTCAGTACAAACTCTTAACCTTGAAAACAGTAAAGAAATTGAATGAGTTAGAACATCTCTGGATGTGATTCAGACAAGGAATCAATAACTTCATGAATTAGTACGACGTTGTTCCTTGCCTGTACCAAGTATTTGTCAAACTAATTCCATGCCAGTTAACATATTATCAGGGTCAACACTGACCTTTACGATTACCCCACATCATATTGAAATCCATATAGATAGGAGCACATCTAGTCAGTTACATCATTATTCACGTTCATTACTTGCAGTGAACGAAATTGGACGATTAAAGTGAATTGTAAATCATGCTCATAAGTTTATTTTATTTATTTAAACACATAAACATTGGTACAAAGAGGCACCAAATACATAGGTGCTACATAAACCATTCGATTTATGTAAAGGCTGGGATACTGCCCAGTTGCCCAAACCGAAGCAGGTGGTTTTCTTAGGGGACCACACTCCGAGCCTTTGGCCTAAAGGTCTAATCCACAAGGTAGTAAATCAACCTTAGGAGATGCAGTCCCATGGTAACCAGTGACTAACAACAGGTATATACGCCATTTGTTCCTTCAGGGTACTGGAGCCCATGCGCACCATTGGTTTGGAATCAGGGTTTTCCAACTCCCCTGGGTGAACTCTCCATGTTCCTCAACCCGGTTAAAGCGCCCGAAATTCGCTTTTCGTCCTCTCAATTTCGTAAACAGAACCCCCACCACGATAAGGTAGTGAGTAGGACTTCCCTGGCAGAGACTGTATACGCGTAGCTATGTGAGAGCATTCGGAGATGGAGAGCTGACTCTCTCCACTCTCGGCCATACCAGGTCATTTGAGAGTTGCTCATAAGTTAATTAAGCACATATAAATACTGAAGTATATTGTTCGAAAAAAACGAGTTAAATATGAAATAACTGAAAAGTTATGAAATATACATGAGACACTTAACCAATTCTTACCTGAAGATGGACCACATTTTGGTGCTATTCTTAATAATTCCGGTTTATTTTTTAACTGTTCATCTGAATCTTTCATACTAATATCAATATTTGAAGCAATTGATCCACTTCTTTTACTTGGATGCATTGAATTTCGGCGTTTTAATTGATTTGTAGCAAATGCAGATGAGGATGATAATGAATTAGCTAATTTTTTTCATTACAAAAGAAAATGAGTAAAATGATATAATGTGTAGGTGAGAATAATAATGATTAGTTGTTTTCTTAGTCAGACATGTAAATAGTCTGATGAGTTATATATTCCCCTATCCTCATTACTTATTATTGACTGATTGTTCATTGTTATGGGATTATGTCGGGTTTTTTTTTGGTGTGGAAATATATTTACATTCTAGTCAGGTTAATTACCTTTTGTTGATCATTTGAGTTGTGTTAATATCCTGTAGAATAGACACTGAGAGGGAATCTAATGCGGATATTCGTCTAAGGCAAATTAACATCCCATACGTGTAGACAAAGGAAAAGCAACCATAATAACATGATAAATTAATAAATTTAAATTACTACCTGTTAATTCACTATAAGCTCCAAGTACACTTCCATCCTTTTCTTCAATGACTCCGTCTTCTTCATTTAAATTTTGTTGATAATAATCTTTAAATAAATAAATGATAATAATAGTAATAAAAATAAATATGATATTAATTAATTTACATATATAATAACTGTTTATGTATTATTGTAAATGATATGAAAAGAGTGCCTTTCAATGATTTAATAGACTAGATTTATGATAAAACAGAAGAATGTCAATATTTCCCTTGATCCCACGATATATATTCAAACATTCAGTCACAGCATATGTACATTGGTTCATGTTGCCACATACGTTAGCACACCGAGATGAAATTGTCAAACCAAATCACAGAATGCTAGACATACTAACAGTATCAGTGATAATAGAAAACATTAAGCATTGAATATACAACTTAAAAACAGTATATAAACTAGTGAAAACAGAAAAAATTATAATGAATTTACAATCTCAGGATTTATGAGAAGACAAAAAAGTGAATGCACCTGCCATATTCCAAACGATTTTTAGCCATGTCATTCAAAGTTTCTAACCACTGGTTACAATAGTCACGCGGAATCCAACCAAGTGGTCTATACCTATTAACATCGTTAAGTCCAATTGTCAGTGACTTCATGGATTGGTGTCATGTTTTGGTTTGGCCACCCAAGGGTTTCTTATATACTACTCCTGGACTAGAGAACGTCGTCTCGTCGAGGTAGACGGTGGTTGGGTATACGTAGCACATGCCCCAACTACCTCAGTTGAAGAAAATTTACCACCTCACCAAGTGATTTCCCGTCTTTACCTAATACTCTATTTCTCACTCCGGTATTGTTTACCGTGGTCCAAAAATGCACGAGCGATGGTTCGTAGACAGTCATGATCGATTACTACAAGCTTACGAATATCCTCTATTCTTAATGTTTGACATCTATAAAGTAGGACGAAGCGAACTACTACGCCTTAAACCCACCCTTTAGCTGAAAGATGGATATCTTGCTTATGCCACAAGTGACGCAAATCGGCAAACGCCAATGAAGCCTGCTGAATCCGTGTTGATATTTCGCTAGACATCAGACCATCAGGACTTATGAGACTCCCAAGGTCAGTGAAGCCGTCGATGTGTTCAACCACTTCATTCCCCATCACGAATTCAGGTGATGACACAACCCAATCCTGGAGTAATATTTAGTATTTGAAGAAAAAGAATCACTTCTCAACCATGCTTGCATTATTGCTCAAGATAGTCAGAAGACTCTGTATTTTGCCAGAATCTTTACCAAACATAACTATATCATTTGCTTGTTCTAAGTCAAAAGTGAATCTCATTGTTGAAGGCCAACCCCTGAGACGTCAAACGATGGAGTTGTTATTTCTTAAAGCGTATTTGTGACAAAGTTAAGTAAAAATGGGGAAAGGGGATAACCTCGACGAACACCACGTGAAATAAGCAATTCCGATGACAATTTTTCATAAGCTCTCACTCGACCAGTAGCGTTTGAGTAGAGAGCCTGTACAAGATTAATGTGCTTCTTTGGTACACCTTTCAATGACAGACACTGCCACAGAACCTCATGATCGACGGAGTAAAACACCACCTTTAGGTCAAGGAATGCAACTATAGTAAGACGTTGAAAAGTATGTCTGTATTTTAGAATCTGCTAAAGGGTGAATATTTGGTCTATGCATCCACGTCCAAGTCTGAAAATGGTCTGGTTTCATCAGGTTTGATCTTTACGAGCTCTAGTTAAATTTCGAAGTATTATGGAAGCTTGTATAAATTTCTACCACTCGATAATAGGACTGTGGATTTAGATTCCGCTACCACGAGACTAGATACTCGAACAACGGACTATACACAGGCTGTATCACGTCATAAAGGATAGGAATTGGCAACGCTTTACTCAACGCTACTGCATAGTCTTCACTAAGTAGGTTCAGAGAAGATTTGTAGCTCTGGTGAATGATTTTGATGGAGTTTTGTTCTTTGAGCCGGATGGTTTTGTCGTAAAGCTTTCATCGTTATTCTGAACGACACCAGCACTTTTTTAATCGTTTTCACAGCCAACAACATATTCTTCATAATAAATTCAAAACAATGTTTCATAAAACATTAGAGATACACTATACAGACGAAAATGGTGCTTAGATGACTGATAGCTAACTCTGTAAAGGAACCAGATTATTTTATGACCTTCATGAATGAATCCCAAATTATTTGACATCTAAAATTAAGCCAATGGTATAAAATTTTTGTAAGTTTCGTAAAAATATACTGAAACAATTACTGAGAGTAATGTCAATACACAAACACTTATATTACTCTAAAAATTCTTAACAATAATTTTTTATGTACACAACCTGGTATAGCATACACTTTTAACTAAGTTTCAATCGTAGTTTTAATTAACTATGGCCTATAGAAACTAAATTATTATGTTTCATGTTTGTTTCATAAAAGGAAATCCAGTGTACAAGCTGTTAAGGATTCAATCATATTTTAGCGACATTAAAATGAACTACCAAACAAGTTAGTCAAAGCAATGAAAATTTCATAAACAGTACGATTGATTTTATCAATTTTTTTAGCTTAATTAATAAAATTAATCCGGTTTACAAATATTTACAGACATATTTAAAACAAGATAAAAAGAGGCTACATACCAAATGGATTGTAACCATTATTCATTGGCTTTGTATTCAACACTGAACTCGAAGGTGAACGTGATTGTCGAATTGCAGCAGGCACATGTAAAGTATGATTGGCTACTTTCTTATACCATCGTTTCTTTTTCTTATGCTCATCATTATTTGATGATAAACTTATGACACTTCCACTATAATTTAATGAGTTAGGTGTTGAACCTTTGTCTTTATGAAGATGTAAGCTAAAAATGAAGTAATATTAATAACAGCAATAATTTAAAACCCACCAGAACCCGTTTATTAATAAATTTGTTCAAAAATTGCTTGACAGCAAAATGTATAAATTACATTGAATTTTCATGCGACATAATAATTAAACAATTTCAAGAGTTAACGATCCATTCAATGTAGATAGTCAGTAGTGGTTAATGTAAAGTAGAACACAAGTACATGTCACCCTAACATATCATATCCAAATCAAAATGACGTGATAAAACTGACAAATTAAATAGAAAGGAAGTCAAGATAATTTTTGATAGTAGCGACAGTCGAAAAGACTAAGTATCAGAAACGCGGTTTGAGGAAGGACTTGGTGTTTATGAAGGAATGTTATAACTTAGGATCTAAAGGAGGATGAAGACTGGATTTATTTGCAATTGTGGTCAATTATCAGCTATATTGATGAGAGATGCTAATCACTAGTCGTGGTTATCGCGTGAATCCTAGCCACGTAACATGTAATTAGTACCACGAGTCATTCGATGCTCACCGATTTCGTGGGTCGATGTCGTGTTTTATTTTGATCGCTCCTAATTTTCTTCCAATCAGTTTATTTCCGATTTCAAATGGTAAACCAAAGAAAAGTAGATTTGTACATAATTGAAAAAGAATTTTAGCTTAATGTAGAATGAAACATTATGTTGAACACTTTAAGCAACGGACTAAACCCAGATTAAGCGAACATCACCATTTATTAATCAATATGTGGTCAACTAGATATCTTATAGTTGATAAGAGTTATTACATTACATGTGACTACACTTTTAGGTCGATAACACTTCTCTTCAAATGTAACTTTCAAAGCAGTGATAACTATGCAAGTAAATACAGATAAATACAAATTTCATTAACTATAAATAGCTTCCGACAAACCAAAGTTTTTTTAAAAAAAACCTAATCTAGCAAATCGCGTTTAGAAAAAAAGTTATAAGCAACCGTCAAACCACATTTCAACAAATTCATACACCGAAAAACGAACCCGATATAATGTATTGACCTTAAAAATCCCGACGTTTCGTTTAGTTGCGTGCGGTTATCCTCTAAATTCTTGGTGTTCACCCCATGTTTAAAGGCCTACTTTTTATACTTTATTAAACATTTGAAATCTACCCACATTAGGAATGATAACCAATAATAATAGAACTGGCCGCTATAAACATGTGGTAAAGAGACAAGTGAAGTTGATCTACAAAAGCTAAATCTAAGATTGCAAGTGTCATCACCAAGGTTAACTTTGAATACTTTGGGCATTTATTAGATAGTTCATAACATAAATAAGGATACATTTGTAAGATCCTAATAAGTAGAAAAATGATTTTTTTACTTTACGTGACGTAAGATCGACATACAATCTTGTCTGCAGATCAGAATGTATAGACTGTAGTGGGTTTTTATATCAAAGATTCTTCTTGTGAACTCATGACTTATACCAAAAACATCTGAGCCACACGAAATTTTTTTCAAACAGTCCTGTAGAACTAGAAAATTCGCAAATCCTAGTGTTCTTAATAGAAAATGCCATACAAATCGTCCAACATGGACCGTTCATCGCTGCACAATCATTTTGCAACTAAAATTCTTCTGGATTTGTATGACAAATAATTACCTGTTTCTTCAAGAGAAATTTACTTATACTTTTTAAAGAATAAGTGTTTAGTCTATTTAAATTAAAACAGATTGGTCAGTGGATACTAGCTTATCAGTTCAAGCATGGTCTATATTTAAAGGCGAGCTCAGTTTAGTTACATCCTCGTCCATACCATACCTGGTACCACGTAAACCGAATAACAGTCCACCATGGATAACTAAACAATTCAAGAAACTTCAAAGACACAGGAAAAAACACTGTAATATGTTCATCTCTACTGGCTTAGAACAGTACAAATCCAGTTATTGTAGGATCAGGGACGCTTGTAAAGCGTTAACAAGTAAGGCTAGACGGTCATATGAAAAAAATCGGTCAATGATTGCAAATACAGTACGAAGAGGTTATTCTCGTATACAGAAAGGCAAACTCAGAGAAGTGATGTAATCCCATCATTTTTGACACGACAAAATCCGTTAATATTGGCAAGAAATGATGACAAACAAGCTGAAGCTTTGTTGAAATATTTCAGCAAAGTGTTTTCTATCGGTAATGGAAAACGACCAACAATTCACTGTGGTTGTGGCGGCTCGTTGATGGACCCTGTATTCATTGAGAGAGGTACTGTTTTAAGACCACTTTAGCATCTCAAAGCAGATAAGTCCAGTGGTCCTGATGGTATTCATCCTAAGATTATGAAAGCCCTATCAGATATAAGTGCTGAACCTTTAGCGATACTGTTTGATGTGTCTCTGAGGCAGTCCAGACTGCCAAGAGACTGGAAAGATGAGTTAATAAGTCCGGTGTATAAAGCTGAGAGCATGGATTTAGCTAGTAACTATAGAACCATTAGCTTGACTAGTTCAGTTGTAAAACTGATCTAAAAAGGCTATTCGGCTATCTGTTATAAACTATTCGGAAGAGCATAATCCTATATCCAGGAAACAACATCGTTGTCGGAAAGGCCTATCATGTTTGACAAATCTCATTGCAAGAGAAGATTAGGTTGCGGCAAAAGATCGAAGTATCCCTGTAGATGTGAGTTATATAGATCTAAGTAAAGCTTTTGATAAGGTCTCTCATTCTGGTCTTAAATTCAAACTGGAACGTTCTGAAATCTATTATACAGTTTTAGATTGGATAAGTAACTTTCTCTATGACAGGAGGCAAAGAGTAAGGGTTAATAGAGCTCTCTCCTCGTGAGTACCTGTAAAAAGTGGAGTTTCCCAAGACAAAATTCTCCGTCCTCTTCTCTTTTCTCTTTATATAAATGAATAGTCAACGGTAGCAAAATCATCTGTCCTACTCTTTTCTGATGACATAAAGATTTGGCGACCCATACACAGTATTTCAGATAAAATGGTATTACGGGATGATATTAGCTCATTAATGACATGGATGGATAGGTAGTCACTAAAAGTAAATCTTAACAAGAGCGTGGTGATGCAACTAAGTAACTATGATGGTTCGTATCACTACACAATATATGGGTTTGTGACACCCAAAGTAAGAAACTATAAAGACTTAGTAGTCATACTAAGCATTGATCTCAAAACCACCTGTCACGGTAAGGCTGCTGCAAAATGTTATAAAGTATTATGCTCTATTCGCAGGTCTTTCCAGTATTTAGATGATGAAATGTTTAGATTATTATACCTGACTTCCGCGCCGCCACAATTGAGATATAGAATTCAAGCAGCGAGTCCTTGTTTCAAGTATGAAGCAAATATGCTGGAACAAGTCCAACGACGAGGGACTAAAATGGTAAAAGGTCTCTCTGGTCTATCTTCTTAAAACATACTGAGACACCCCAACTTATTTCCGTTATCTTACCGCAGACTACTGAGTGATATAATATTGACTTGTGGTTAACTGGACGATGACCTTGGTACTAATATGTCTTGTCTTTTCCTACCGTCTAGGACTGAGCATTTGAGAGAGCATTCTAAGAACACAGACTGAGATCAAATGGTCCACGTCCGAAGTTTCGTCTCTTGCACTGAGTTGTGAATTACTGGGATTCTCTACCGGAACACGTAGTATCAGCACCTTTATTGATATAATCAAAACGAGATTGGACCTGAATAGTGATGCAAACCGCGACGATTAATATAGGTCGATTAACCTCCTATCCCTATTACTGAGGAATGAGGACAGTGAAAAATTAAAGTATCAACCAGTTCAATCTCAAAAATAGGAGTGAAACCGAAAATTCATCACACCATATTAGATTTGACAATCTGAACCAAATAAATCACAATTCACGAAGCACTATTATCATATAAAATTCAATTCCATTAACATTCAAATGGAAGCTCACCTCGACAAGCTTAGGATCGACCCCATGGCGCTCCTGCTCTTAGTTTCATCGCTACGGTATTCTTCCACCCAAATCCAGAAATAAAGTCTTCCAAAGCCAATCTCCGTCTTTTTTGTTTGTTCCATCTCCATGATACATAATCGGGAATTATCCGTAAGACTAACAGAAGGATCTGTCGGTCTTGGTGGGATTGTAACTCCAGGTACAACTACCTGACCGACATGATTATCCTCAGAATCGGAAACTAAGAGGACAACCGGATCTCCCCTAGTTGCAATTTTACTACACAGTGCATTAATAATTTAGAGGCTTACAATGTAGTTTCAAAATTCCAAACAGGATTACCATCCGATGCGTAGACGCAATCTGTACTTATTTTCTTTTTTCCACCTAGAATAACGCATTTCCATTTCTGGCTAACTTTTTCTGTCATAAAAATTATTTGAAGCTATGAAGTCAATCTACTTTGTTTATGATCAGAACGTGGTGCTACACGTAAATTCTCAGCCTTGTACACTGATAAAGTTCGGTCAAAAACCCCAGCAAACTAACCTCTTACAGTGACTTCTTTAGGATGTCGAATGTTTGGAGCTAACATGTCATCAGGAAAATATTTTGAAATTCCTCCAGATTCATTGCCACGACGAGGACAAAAAGAGAAGGTTATAAACAAATATCAGGGAAACAATTAGATAAAATTAACAATTCTTTCTCTTGTTAACCATTTAATCTTAATATCTTTAGGAGAATAAAGTAGGCGGTGGTTTCATTACATACAGTAGCTTACGAGCTCAGACCTCACATGTAGTATATTACCAACCTCATTCTTCTCAGTAACTAGTGCGATAAATCATTTTAATCGTTGGTTGTGCGAGGCCGTTCCGAAGATTATCAGTTCTAGAAACGGAGGAAACCGAAGAAACAGGTGAAACAGGCTGCAAGTTCATCATAGGCACTGTTATTCACTTACTCAGAATTCATAGTACAACCAAGTCTGACACTTAATACAACACTGCTGGAATTGATTTGACCATTGTCGATTGCATTCTAAGAGAATGCATAGTTTCTTTATCGTCCTCTTTTATCATGGATTTAACCTAGCACTCCTGCCAGTTTTCAAACGTTATGTGTTCGGCAAACCCTAATACAACCTAATACACCATACTAAAATGGAGGCACGTTCTAATAGAACTATGGGTGTTCCCAGCATGTCTAAAACATCTCTGTACTAAAACAGCTTTGTCCGTTTTTTATCTGAAAAGTCGAGGTTGAGTTCGTAGATATTCATGTATTTCCACTTACATAAGACGTTGATGCATAATAAAAACTTTGCCGTCAATCGACATTTGAATTTACTTCCCGGCGTTCTGTAAAACTTGTACACAGTTGTGAAATTATTTGCCCGACTTCACCGACATTATCCTTTTGTAATTACATTGACTGAAAACAAAGGAAACAAATTATAAGTGCGGACAATGAGATGGCTCTCAATATAACAGGGTAGGTAATTAGATACAAATATATAACTGGTAGCTCTGAAAAGTCTCTAAAATCATGCTAACTGGGGTGGGTTATTGAGAGATAAGACTCTCTGAAATAAATAAATCCTCCGATTTCCTGCATACAGAGAGCACTACGAGCTAATAGTCTCGGTTAGACACCACGAAGATATTATACTATATCCTCTTAAAGGATCCTACTAAAGAGAGCTGTTTAAAACTCTTATATCCCACTATTCATGCTAGTGTATAATTATGCGTGTTCTATTGGCGGCTTTCGTCTTCTTTGCTTGCCCAAGATATCTGTAGATCAGCAATATTTATTCACGTTATCTTGAGCTGTCTAGACGGAACACAAAGGAAACCAGAGCATCTTTGGACGCCTGGCAATCTAATCAAACATCAGTCAATTGGCATACCGAAACCGACCAAATCTGTTAGTCAACAAGATAGTGGATAAACAGCTATATGGTCAGAATTTGGGTCAGGAGAGAAAACAGTGAGATGAAGCATTCACTGCCCACACAATTATGGATATCAATCAACCACGATTCATGTCAACAGAACAAGTCGTTGGCCAGTTGCGAAGCACTTCCAGTAACACACTGATGATAATATTCGGAAGAACAGTGAAAAGATTGTGAGCAAACCATTTTTCTCGGAGATCGCAACACCAACATACCAATCCTAAGATTGATAAAATCTAATAACTGGATGCAAATTTGAGAGTCACTGTGTGGCGATAAATGAATCCCCAAAATAAATAGCTCTGTAAATTTTCGACATTGGATGCTGACGACAGTTTTAGTGGACTCATCTAGCTGAAGGCGCTCGGTCAAGCATCCGCATCAGATCGAGTGTGGGAACGCCGTGCTCAACATCTGCCGCAATCGCTAGCCAGATTAGTTCAAATGATCCTCGATATATTGATAGCTTATCAAATATATCTTCGATCTCCCCGCTTCTGTCTTTTAATTTCACTTGGTGTGTACGCTTCATATTAGAAGGTGTTACTGGTTAAAGCGTTGTCAAACTCTGAATACCTGTGGCATCTTCAACTGCTTATGTTCAACTATGGAATTTCGAAGGGTCAGAGGGTTGAGTAAAACAGGGGCATAATTATTAATATTTTTAACACGTAGTTCGAGCTTGGATTGATGAATTCCCGGAGTCTCATTTGTGTAATATTTTTTAATCTAAAGTGACCTTGCAGTTGGACTGTTTGTTGGAATCGAACTTGAGTAAGTTGGTCCACACGCAAAAGACGGTCTAGTATACCAATGTTTATTCAGTTATTTAAAACTACTATTTAGAACTGTACAACCCATGAAACGTCTCCCTGTAACTCATTATCTGAGACGATATCAAAGCACAAATTATATGCATAACCTGCGTGAAATTTTTCTAAAAATAAACTGCCGAGTAATCCCATTAAAAGCAAAACTCAAAAATTCGCTAAAGACCATGCGTGCTCATGACCCTATAGCATCAATAAAAATAAAAATGAGCAAAAATAGCTTTGATAAAGAGGGAAGATAGCCACCCGTATATCAGAACACCGTTTCCAGTACTATATTTTAAAACTTCACATAATCCTATACTTTCAACTTCTTCTTGAACCACGTCCATTTATACAGTTCTTTGTCCATTCATACCATATTGACGCTTGTTTTCTTTAACCCGCTAGAATGTTCTTGCTTAACAAGTACCTCTGGCCTATCTTCTGAAAACATACTGAGACACCCCAACTTATTTCCGTTATCTTACCGCAGACTACTGAGTGATATAATATTGACTTGTGGTTAACTGGACGATGACCTTGGTACTAATATGTCTTGTCTTTTCCTACCGTCTAGGACTGAGCATTTGAGAGAGCATTCTAAGAACACAGACTGAGATCAAATGGTCCACGTCCGAAGTTTCGTCTCTTGCACTGAGTTGTGAATTACTGGGATTCTCTACCGGAACACGTAGTATCAGCACCTTTATTGATATAATCAAAACGAGATTGGACCTGAATAGTGATGCAAACCGCGACGATTAATATAGGTCGATTAACCTCTTATCCCTATTACTGAAGATTGAAGCCTGAAAGTATTTGCCAAATTATCTTTACGGAAATCGGATTCCTTCGGAGAAACAACATGGTTTAGAACGGGCTATTCATGTCTAACAAGCTCAGTGGTCCGTGAAAGCTGGTGCGCTCTCAAATGTTACGTGTAGATGAAACTTTTAATGACCGTAGTAATGCTTTTGATAACGTGTTTTTCAAATGTTTGTTACCTCAGTCTGGATAAGGACTTTCTTGTTGGGCGTCAACAAATAGTACGGATTAAACCAAATATGTCCAGCTGAGAAATTGTGCTTAGCAATGTGCCTCAGAACACAGTTTGCAGACAATTTTATCCCGGTGTGTCGATAAATGCTTTCAAGTGCATTGTGATACATATTGGCCATCAACAAACTGATACATACACGGTGAGTAATAATCAGCTACCTGTTTTCCGGATGCATGATGACCTAGGAGTCGTCGTTAGCTGATACCTGTACACTGCCGTGCGATAACCGTCAAACGCTTAGGAACTCTATGGTCAATATGTAGGGCCTTTAGCCATGTCGATGCCAAAAGCTTTTTGATCTTGTATACAGTGTTTGTTAATCCTAAACTCGAGTACTGCACACAAGCATCTAGCCCTGTCTAAAAAGGATAATGAGCTGTTGGAGAAGGCTCAATGAACCACAAATAAGCTGGTTCACATAATAGCAAAGCTCCCATACGACGCTCGACCGGTCAAACTAAACCTATTTCTATTGTCGTACAGAAAACAAGAAAAGATTTGATCACAGCTTTTAAATAACTTAGTGGCGAGTTCGTATCTGACTTGCCCTCACTTTTCTTGTCTTCTAAAACGAAATTTGCGAGAACACTTTAAAAAGGTTCACAAGCTCAGAAAAGGTTACTTGCTAGCTGACAGTCGACTTTCCAATCGAACCATCAACAAATGGAATTCATTGCCCGAACAAGTGATAAGAGCTTCATCTGTCGACGCTTTCAAAAGAAAGTTGAACCAACCAGGAGACTACCATTGACAGAAATGACACAGGTCGCCTAACCTTTTATCCTTTCTAAACCGAGACTGAAAGGGAACAGCCTTATTAATGGTTCTGGAATCATGTCAGCAAGCGATGACTGCGATCGTGAATGCAACCAATCGAGACTCATTATCTCGATAATATTTATTTGCTTCCTCTTTCACATATTTTTGGTCTGTACCTGAAGGTATCTTGCTGTTAGACAAGGAAACGCGTCCACAGATAGCTCCTGATTTACACCAAAGCATATGGATTTTTTGGCGGAAATTTAGGAGTCACACAAAACGGGATTTACATATTGGGAAAGTCAATACAATTCAACCAACCTACTATCTTTCCTGATAAATACTCGTTCCTGCGCGCCTTAGAGACGGGAAGTTTAGTCCTAACGCGGTTTGCATTTCTCAAACTTTTGCTGTGTTCTTGATCATCAAAAGTATTTGTCCTCCGCTCAACGTTCTGTAGATTGCTTTCTTTTTTGAATTTTACTCAAGGTGATAGATGGCTGTAGTTATGCCTCAGTTCACCATCCGAGTTTTACAGTTTTCCACGTGAAGCTTGGCTTCAGTTTATCCCCAACGTCTGTGATACCCGTTTTTCCGTTTTGGGTATATTGTATTTTATTTCTTTTCGGTCGTAAACTCGCTAGGATCTATCTAACGAATCACCTGTCACCAAGTTCGTAAAGAAGTCATGCCAGCAATCTGGATGCCCTTCTGCTCTCACCTGTAGTATGTAGTGCGATAAATGCTCAGATCTTACAGTAACTGCTGACGAAAAGTGGGTGTATGGCACATGCGACACAAGTGCTGATGATTTACTGAGTAACATCATTATTCACTTGACAGGTCTGCGTACCAAGTTGTCAGCGAACCTAAAAGAGACCTTCCTGAAACGGATGAACAAACAACAACGCGCAGTAGAGTAAAAAGAGGGTCTTCCATCACATTAGTATCGATGGAACATGCATCAAAGCTAATGGAGATATGCTTAAGCTCAGCATCATCACAACATTGATAGTGTTAAGCTCTATCAGCAAACTTTGGTCTCCTAGTACGG